AAAAATAAAATCAATTGAAATTTTATCTTTTTATTTACATTCATCTCCTACTTATTATCATCAATAATGATTTCTTCATCACGTATACGTTTCGTTTTAACAATAAATTGATTTAATTTCATTTGTGTACCTTTAAATTCTGGCCAAAATTTTGTACATATGGATGGTGGTTTTCTTTGTGAATGATCTTTAAATATAAAATTAAATTCTCCAATAACTGGACAATGATCACTGGATTCAATTTCAATTCGAAGTTCACAATTAACAAGATGTAATTTTGATACAATACCATCACATAGAATATAATCAATTCGTACACCATAATTATTAACTCGAGCATTTGATAATGTTTCCCAACATGTATAAGCTTCACGTTGATCTGGATGTAAATAACGAAATGTATCAATAAAAATATCATTATTAATAAATTTTGAAAACCAAAGACGTGATGGACTAGAATTAAAATACTAAAATAAAGACAAAAAAAAAAACAAAACAAATGTTTATATTAGAAATATTTATTTTTATTTTTACATTAAGATCTTCTCCTGGGTCACATGTATCAATTGGTTTATGAGAAACATTAAGATCACCAACAACAATAACACGACTTTAAAAATAAAATAAATAGATGTATTTTTAAATTAAAAAAATAAATAATTCACCAGCCACGTTCTAAAAAATATTTAGCACGTTGTTCAATTGCAGAAAAAAAATTTAATTTATAAGTTAATCGTTCAGGTTTATCTCTATCAACACGAGGACAATAAACATTAATAACAACGAGACTTGTACCATCTCTAACAAAAAATTAAAATTAAAATTAAAAAGCCCTTTTTTTATATTTACTCAAGTTCATGTTCGGTCATAATTGCACGACCTTCTCTATCAATTGCTAAAAGATCATTTTCATCCATCGAAGGATATTCACCACCTAAACTATCATCAATTGTTGTATGTAATTTTCCAGCAAGTCCTATAAACTAACAGAATATTCAAATTGTATACAAAAATAAAAATCTAATATTCTTGATAATATACCTTCTTCAGCTCGAATTGGTGTTAGAAAATTTTTACAAAAAATAGCTACACCAGAATAACCTTGTCGAAGTCGAGACCAACTATAAAATGTATGATAACCATCGATTCGAGCATATGTTTCAGCAAGAGCTTGACCTAAATATGTTTATTTCATACAAGATATTTGTACTACAGAAAATAAATTTCAGATAAATTTTGATGAAAACTTACGCGTAACTTTCGTTTCTTGAAAACATATTATATCACAATTAAGCTGTTCAAGTACAGTTCGTAATGGTTGTCGTAATGAGCGAAGACCATTTATATTCCAAGAACAAATACGCATCTAAAAAATGAAATATTTATATTAGAAAAAGAAGATATTTGTTGACGCGGCGAGTGTCACGATTGTTTACGAAAGAAGAATATTTTTCTTCTAACAGAATGCAAAAAGAAAATTTCAATCCTTCTGAGAAAGAATAAAAGTTTCTCATTATTTGAAGAGCGGGGGAGGGGGAGGTATTACATCCTACAATCGAGCTGCCATTAATTTTACAGTGAATATGTACAAACATTAAAATTGATTTTCGTCACTATCAAAATGTGTTCAATCTTCTGTGTCAGAAGATTGAACACTTTTTTTTCAATGGAAAACATCAACTTTATTGCTACTATACTAAATAATCAAACATAGTGAAACAAGTGCTAAACGAATACCGACAGAAGATTATTCCAAAATGTCAAACAGGTGATTGTCAATCCATTATTTACCTCTATCAGTTGATTTAAAAGTAAATTCAAGTATTCTCATTTCTAACTATGAACATGACGATGTAAACAAATCATTTTTTTTCTGTTTCTTGTTTTTGAAATGAAGAAATATATTTATGAAAGATGTCGCTAATTTGTTTTCTCTGTTCTTTTTAATTTTTCAAAGAAAAGAAAGCAATAACTATAAACAACAACAACAACAACAGCAAGTACTTTCCTCTTCGTTATGTTCTTTTACCCACGTGAATGAATAAGTCAAAATATTTGAATATTGACAAAATGATGATTAATATTTTTGTAATACTTGAATTCCTATAATCAGTCTTTTTGTCTTAGATTTTTTTTATTATTCTCTTTTAAATTCATACAAAAATGAATGATAATGGTGCATTGACTAAACGTATTGTAAAAGTAAGAATTTCGACATATCTTTTCAATTATATATATATATATATTTGCTTTCAGGAAAGTGCTCGTCTACAACAAGAACCAGTACCAGGCATAAGTGCAACAGTTGATGAACATAATCCACGTTATTTTAAAGTAGTCATTGATGGACCTAGTGAAGTATGGTTATGTCTTAAATATATTTTCATGAATTAATTATATTTTGTTATAGGGTCCATATGAAGGTGGTAAATTCAAAGTTGAATTATTTTTACCTGAAGAATATCCAATGGCACCACCAAAAGTTCGTTTCATGACAAAACTTTATCATCCAAATATTGATAAATTAGGTCGAATTTGTCTTGATATTCTCAAAGGTATTTAAATTTACTTTATTTATGAATTTTAATGAAAATTTTTTTTTCGTCTAGAAAAATGGAGTCCTGCTTTACAAATTCGTACCGTCCTTTTATCTATTCAAGCTTTATTAAGTGCACCTAATCCAGATGATTTTTTAGATGCTGATGTTGCTGAAAAATGGAAAGCTGATGAAAAAGGAGCCAAAGCTATAGGTATATAAAAAAAATTAATCATTCATACATGATTTATTAAATAACTCGTCTTTCTATTTATTTTTAGCACGTGATTGGACTCTAAAATATGCTCATGAAATTTAGAAAAATAACATATATATATATATATATATGTCTCTATTTATATAAATTGGTCGGATCATATGACATAACGATCATTCAAAAACATAGGATGGTGAAATTATTCTTTTTGTATGCTTTTTTTCTTTGCATGTTCATAGTTTCTTTTTGTCTTGTCTTTTTTTCTTTGTAACCAAGAGCAAAATACATATAAACAACAGCACCATTCTTAACTAACAGTTGTATGTGTGTGTGTGTGTGACTGATCATCTATTTCGATAAAAGAAAACATTTGCTTCTTTTCCGTTTTTTTTTTCGATCATCATGATGAATGTATATGCATGTGAAAAGTATCAAGAAAAAAAAAAGAACAGACAAGTTATATTATCTTCGTTTACATAGAACAGCTGCAACGAACAAATACATAAAACACTAAGTGCGCAGAGAACTTTTTTTTTGTTTCGTGTTTGATACACATAAACTATTACTGCATGATGCAAACTTTGAGCTTTTGAAAATATCAAATGTTCACCCATTATCGTATGGTAATCACTCAATTAATTTATAAGACACCTTAAGCACAAATATTAAAACAAGCATATTTGTCAGATTTTCAAGTAATATGTTTCTTTTTTTCTGTCCTTTTTATAAATGATTACTTCATTTTGTCAAAAAAAATCATTTCATGTTTTTTTTATATAAAAAATTTAATTTACTTTATCTCTTTACGTTTCTGTTTTATTTTCATTTCAATATATAGATTGTAAAAATAAACCATGCTAAAATTTCAAAAAAAAAATTAATTAATTATGCGAACATTATTTAATCGTTTAATCTTTATTAGAATGCGTCGTGTATTTGAATTATTAGTAGTATCATTGTTTTTAATTATTATTTTAACAATTAATTCAAAATGGTCATCATCAATAATAAATGATAATAATAAACATCGACATATAAACATTAATAATATATCTGTAAATTCATTTTTATCACAAGATCAATCTTTAAATCAAAATCATGATACAATCATAGAAAAAATAATTACAGGCCAACCTAATTTAGCAAAATATATTCATTTAGATTTAAAAGGTGCACCACCACAACCAAATAAATTTTATGAAACATTTTTTAATTTTATTGATCAATTAAATATGAGTGTGAAAGGTATTGTGATTGAATATGAAGATTTATTACCATTAAATGGTAGATTTGCTAATGTAAGTTACAATTAATAAATGAGATATATTCAAAATAAAGAATAAGTTTTTGTTAAGGCTACTCATCGTTTTGGTTATAAAAAATCTGATATTGAATTGATACAAATAGCAGCAAAATCTCATCGACTTGAAATAATACCACTTATACAAACATTTGGTCATCTTGAATGGTTACTTAAATTACGTGAATTTGAATTATATCGTGATGAGCTTGCTTCACCTATGGTAATTACACCATGTCTTGATTTAACATATGTTTTACTTGAAGGTAATGTTTAATATTAATATAAATTATTTGTATTAATCATGAAAAATTTTTTTTAGATCTTTTACAACAGACACTTGATATGCATCCAAATAGTAATATAATTCATATTGGTTGTGATGAAGTTACATTAACAAATTCTCATCCAAAATGTCAAGAAATATCGATGGATGTACCTGAACGATATATTAAGTAAGAAAAGAAAATATGAGGAGAAATATGAAATACAATTTTTTTTCTTTTTTTTTGTTTTTAAAGTCATGTTAAACGTATCGTTAGTATAGTTCAAAAAATTCGACCTGGAATACGAATACTTATTTGGGATGATGTTATTCGTAGTGAACAATTTATTAATAATGAAAAATTGGTAAATATATTTATAGAAAACAAATGTTTAATTAAATACTTTGTTTTCGATTATTCCTCTATACAATGGCTTCAGAAATTATTCGAATAAATTTTTTTTTCGTTGTCATACGCACGAAGAAAAATTCAAATACTAATTTGTGTAGTAAATTTTATTTCCAACAAGAAATTTCAAAGATGAAAATGTTTACCTAGAATAGAGTTTCTGAAAAATTTAGTTTTTGATTTTGTAGAAAATCTACTTTCGAGCAACTACGCTTCTGGACAAAAAATAACTATCCTCTATGAAGTGTTACTATTCTTTTTTATAATATTGAGCTGATATTTTCAGCGCATACATTCGACGCATCAATCTATCTTTCGTCGATTCACATATACTGAAATCTCAACCATGTTGATACAAATATTTACGTCCACCCGTTCACTCGAAAGTCCAATGTCTTAGCTATCTCTAATCTAAGTTTTGCTAAGATTCACTTTCAAATAACTGAGATATTGTCTTCTCATTAAACATGTCTGTTGACGAGCAGATGCTGGTTTTTAGTAAGATGAATCTTTTTCACAATGACTTGGACTAGTTCATTTGAAAACTTATTGTGAGAAGATGAGTTTGTTCTGAAAACGTTTTAGAGATGCACCATTGAATGAAGTCGAATTAGTGCTATGATGTCAATTCACTATCTTCGGGTATGCTAATTACTAAGACCTTGACTATCTGTCTTGGGCTTTGATGATAATAAGAGAAACATATGAGATTGTTTTTAGCGCTAGAAAAAAAAGCAATTACAGCTGGTGGAATAGCAAAATGACAAAACAAACACTATTTGAATGTATAGCTTTGCTGAATATGATTTTTTTTAAAAAGAAAAAAGATGTGTGAGTTATAACTCTAGTACATGGGAATCGTTGCAGGGCAAATTGATGCTTGTGATTAAGGTTTTTGTTGCATACATGCACTGAGAATATCAGCTCAGCAGTTACTTTTGTCCAAGACTTTAATAGTGATTTTCATCTTCGAAAAGTTTTGTTTGGGAAGAAATAGAAAAGAGTTAATATCAACGTGCACCCTTCTTACATGAGACATTACTATATTACATAAATTTTGTTTATTGTCGAATATCTTTCTCATAAATAGAATTAATCCGATTGAAAAGAAGATCATTTGATTTTGCTTTTTTTTAGTTAAATGAATTAAAAAATCTTGTTGAACCAGTTGCTTGGAATTATCATCCAACATTTGATGATTCATATATATATTCACCTATTTGGAATATTTATTCAAAATTATTTTCTAATACATGGGCAGCTAGTGCATTTAAAGGTGGTCTTAGGCGTCTTTCTATGCAAACAAATACAACACATCATGTTTTAAATCATCATGCATGGCTTCAATTTATGAAATTATCTACAAATCAAAATAATAAATCTTTTTCTGCTATTATATTAACTGGTTGGTCACGTTTTGATCATTTTATGCCATTATGTGATTTATTACCAACAGCTTATCAATCTCTTATTAGTAGCTTATATATATTAACTACAGGAAAATCTATTCTTCATGAGTATGTGAATGATTGTTATGAGTTAATGAATTCAATTGGCAAAGATTCACAATTATGTCAATCATTACCAGGTTATAAAATAGTTTCGAAAGACAAAAAGAAAAATATTTGTATAACTTTTA